CCCTGCTGCCAAATCCCCCTCCCCTGGGCTCAGTGGTCCAGCATGGACCATGGATGTTCCTGGACCACAGAGGCTGCCAAACCAGGGAGTCCCAGTTAAGAGAGGTACAACCTGTATAAACACTTTCCTTAGCGATCTCACTCCTATCAGATTGGTATTTTTTTAACATCGAAACTGGCCGAATAAGTACTGGAAAAACCACCAGGTAGTAAGCCATGGAGTGGAAGGGATTAACCTCCGCTCTCTTCCTGTGTCACTCCTGCATGGAGTAGAAGAGCTGTCTGGCTACTCAGGTGTTGAATTAGAGTGGGATGAAATAAGCCTTTCATTCTGTCGTGCATTGCTCTCCCCCGACCCGCTAATCTGAGGTATTCCCCAGCAGTGAGTAGAACAGAAGAGAGGCCTGCGTGAGCTGAGCACTGGTGCACGTGGGGAAGCTGCAGTACTGTCTTGCCCCGATTGTCTGGGAAAAACAGCATCATGAAAAACCAGTGTCGCTAGCGCAATTTTGAGGCGGCATTTCAGCAGTCGGTTGCACTCTTCTGACCATCATTCATGTCATTTCCCAGGCTGAAATTGTCAAACGATGAAATCAAACGTGCAATTTTAACAATGGACGAGCAAGAGGACCTGCCAAAAGACATGTTAGAGCAGGTGGGTGACAGCCTCTTACTGTCGTGCTTATTGTTGCAGCCGGTTGTTAGTACTGGATGCCTTGTGAAATTAGGCAAAGACTTGGGACAGATTAATGAATGGCTCCCAGTGCGTAGCTGGGGTTTGCGACACAGGTGAGCATGTCCACACAGCTTTTACAACACTTTGGCTCGCCAAAGTAGGGGAGGAACCCCTCAAAAAACATGCAAAAGGTGACTTACACAATATTCACTCAACCCTTTTTCATAAACCCCAGCCCTTTTGCTCAGATTCCAGCAATGCATTTCACAGTATAAGAGCTTGCTCAGTCCAGTGGACAGTTGTTAGACACAATCCCAGTGTCTGGATGGAGATCAGATGAGCCCTTCTACCAGCACTACTGTGATTTTACGTTTCTGCGGCTCCTTTTTAAAACCTGGTGCCACGCTGGAGTAGCACAGCCGTGAGTCTGGCCCCAGGTCCTCTCTTCACAGTGCTGTTTCCAGGGCTCACGTTGGTATGCCGAGCGTGAAGGTGACATTCTGCTAAAGCTGAACTGACAAGTGTAGATTCATTGTGACTTCGCAGGGTTTGCTGTGATCCTGATTTCTTTATTGATCGTGCTACTAAAGGGCGCTTAGCCCTTCACAAACCAACCCAACGCTCCAGCTCCTTGGATTGAGTGCCCTCATTCAGATCACTGACACACAGCGCCGAGGGTGCGGTGGAGGTGGGGTAGGAATTAGAAGTGAATCAAAAGGAAAGGCTTGTTATTTCCCAATGGGGGTGGGGCAGAGGCCTCTCCTTGGCATGATGCTATTCAAAGAGCCCTTTGATAAACGCAGTAGGGACCAGAGTGCAGTAATGCTGCCTGACTAACATCACCACACCTAGGCCCAAGCTGTCCCTGAGGGAGGGAAGCGCCGCACCTCAGAGTGCCTCATTGCTTGAGCAATGTTGCCTCCAGGAGATTCTAGCTCTGCCCAGTTGATTCGCTCCAGGCAGAAATGTGACATTTGGGCCTTATTTCTCCATTTTAAAAGGAAGGGCCGTTGGTTTAGCCAACTGTGCAGAATTCAGACGGCAAGTTGGAGCGTTGCCAACCAGCAGCAGAATTGCCTCCTATGGAGATACCCCAGATGGCAGCCTCCTGCCTGCTTGGTTCTCTACGTAAGGCTAGAGCCAAGCAAAAGTGGGCATAGCTTTAGCATTCCTTACCAGTCCCAGGGAGCTGCAGGCAGCTGGGTGAAATTGAGAGCAGCCCTGTTGGTTTGTTCTCGTTGGAGTTTCTGGAGGGCTGAAGGTTTTGTGCCGAGGTGATTGTATTGCTGGTGTTCATTTAAGAAGGCATGTTGCCTGCCAACGCAACACAGGTTCTCCTAGCCAGCCTCAGATAGCAACGAGTCGTTTAGGGTTGCTGTTCTATGGGAGTCTAGCATAGTGATGGTTTCAGGACCTTTCTAAGTTGAAGGCTGCTTTGACCAGTTGTCGGTGTGTAATTTCAAGCAGAGGCTGCAAACCCCCGTGTATGAGCACTGCCTCCTCCTGACTCCAGTTCAGCTTCAACCAATTGTTCCTTATCCAGCTGCTGCTTGGCTGAAATCGCTAGGGATGGCAGTGGGTATCTTGAGAGCAGACTGAGAACTTCCTTTTTGGCAGTACCAAAGACACACAGATCTACATTCTAGCCAACTCAATGTCTGAACTCTAATACCTGAGTTCTGATCCCAGCTCTGACATGAAATGGCTGAGAGAGCTGACTAAACAAAGAGCTCTCTACAGCCTGTAAAACAGAGATAACACTCGCACCTCCAGAGCAGAGTTGGGAGGTTTAAGTAGTTGAAATATAATTTACAAGTAAAAACACCCTGATTACAACTAGGGCTGGCTAGAAAACAAAAATTCCCATTTTTCCAAAAAGTTTCAAGGCTTGTTTTCTTGCCTCTGGGACCTTTTAAAAACTTTTCATGGAAAATGCACAAGAGGAGATATGTAGAAGCCCCCTGAATAGCTTAGTGAGGATGCCACTTGCCTGGGAAGTAGGAGGCCCAGCAATCCCTGCTCTGAATCAGGTAGAATCAGCGTGTGTACCTGAGTCATCCACCTCCTACTGTGAGCTGTTGAATAGTTTGGGTGGATCTTGCTCTCTGTTGCACTCTGGACCAGGGAGAGGTTCCAATGGAATATTCATTGACACCACTGTTACCATGACTTGTTTTGGTTTCAATACAACTGTGGGGGGAGGGAGAGGAGAGGGAAGGGGAAAGATCTAAATTTTTTCAATAAGCTTTAGTTGCCGCGAGTGGGTTCTTCTTTCTTTGACGTGACCAGTAGGAAATTTCAAACCCACTGTGCTACAGTCTAAAATAATTGTTTTATAACAGACTGGCTGAAGAATCAACATAGCTGGTGTAAAACCAAACCGTATGTCAAAGGCCTGGTGGGAAGTATTGAACAGTAATGTGTGTGGGGAATGGCACAAGGCCAGAATTTCCTAGACAAATTATAATAGCTCTGTATTGCACCTTCTGTGTGTGGGGCAAGTTTGGGGGTGGAAGTAGACGCAGCTAGATTTCATTTTATATTAATTTGTTATAGCCAAAGCCCCATAATAAGAAAGGGATTGCATAAAAGTAAACGTAGGTCTCGTGTCTAAACTGTGTTTCCTTTTAGCTCCTGAAATTTGTTCCTGAGAAGAGCGATATTGACCTCCTGGAGGAGCACAAACATGAATTAGATCGCATGGCCAAAGCGGACAGGTTCCTCTTTGAAATGAGCAGGTAGGCCTGACTTCACTGGCTGCTTCCACACTAGCCCTATTGGAATGGCAGCTGTGCAGATTAATCACAGGGTTTCTCTAGAATAGTTGGCTAATGGAGCTAGATAATCCTGTGTAATGCAGCTGGAGCCTAATGAGGCCTGGCTTGAAAATCCACTTGGATATTTGTATTCATTTTTGCAGCTCCCAGATACTTGTGCGAGCCTGTTCCCTTGCTGCCCTGGGGATAAATTAGGAATTTCCAACTGCAACCTTCATCTCCCAGTGCTGAATGTTTAGAGCTAGGCTGGGGAAGCATGTGATAGAAAGCTCTGTCCAAATTATGCAAGACAGGAGTAATTTTCCTTTTCCAATGCTGCCTCCCGGATTCTCAGCTGGTATAAAACAATGTCGCTCTCACCGATGTTTAAACTAGTTGACGGGAATTTTTACCATTTAACTGTAGAGTTTGCATTACCCAGAGGAGGGAAATTACAACAGGCCTTAAATACATGTCTACAAGAAGTGGTGACACAATGTCCTGAAGAGGGATGGGCTTAAGCACTTGCCTGAATCGGGGCCTTATGAGACAGTAGTTTAAGGCATCATCTTTTCTGTCCCACTGCAGTTCAAAGAGAGAGGTGCTCTCATAGTGAAATGGGCCTTTCCCATCTGCAGCTGTGAATAGTGGAGCAGCTGAGTCCTGCCTGCAGCAAACACATTTCAACTTGTGCCTCTCTTACAGGATAAATCATTATCAGCACAGGCTGCAATCCCTTTACTTCAAAAAGAAGTTTGCCGAGAGAGTTGCGGAAGTGAAACCCAAGATTGAATGTAAGTTAAGGGGATTTTGTTGTTGGTTCGCTAGAAAGCTTTTTGCTGATGTGTCAAGTATTCCCCCATTTCCCCCATCACTCATAAAACCCAGACGGGCTCAGCATATACACAGGAAAGCCAAACGTCTTTGTCTAGCAAGGCCTTGGAATCCAGAAACAGAAATCTGTTTCTAAACAGAAATCTTTTCCCTCCTGATCCCCAGGTGTATTGATTCATTATTGTAGCACTGCCCTTGTCTGTTTAAGTTGGGAGGAGCCCTTGTTTTTATCTCAAAACTAAATAGACCCAAGCTGTGTAGAAGTAGCAAAAAGATAAAAGGAGGGAGAAGAGGGGAGGTCAGATTTGGTATGTATTGTTATCAATAGGATTGCTTTAAGGAAGCAAGAGGGGATTTTTAATACTTTCCAGTAGTTTAAGATATTATTCAGAAGAGCTTGAATTCATCTACCCCAGTAGGTGGTTGTCAAGCTAACTGGAATGGCTCATACATGTGGGTGCCAACCACAGGACTAGTTGTTACAAACCAGGACTCCAATACCAAACCGGTTTTGTGATCTGTACTTAGATTTCCCTGGCCAAGTGTTGAGTGTGAACTCCTCAAGCAAGGAGTCACAGACAATCCCTTTGGGCACTCCAGTCTATCTTGCCACTTAGGCAAGATTGCCTTTGTGGTAGATGGTCCCTTGCACCAAAAATTGCAGCGATGCTATGGTTACTCCCAGTGCCAAAGGCCCAGTCCTTTGCCCCAGATCAGTTGTACTTTAGAACTCTCACCGAAGAGAACACTTGTAGCCTATTCACTCTCGTTCTTTCCTGGTTTTTATTTACAAGGTTAAAACAGGTAACAGACACACGGAGATGAGTTACAGTCTTAGGTTTCAACAGCAATAGAGACTGCTGTAATGTGCAAGCTCTGTATGTCCTTTAGGGCTCAGCAGTTTGGGGCTCCCTTGCTTTTGCTTCGGAAAGTTGCCCCCTCCAAATTCCAAGCAGCACAGTGGTACAGACCCTTTGGTCGGGGATATTTAGTCCCTTCCCCTAGCGTTCAAACTGTGATAAGACGGGGGTTTGTGTGCATCCCCCTTTCTTGGGCATGAGGGGCACAATCTTTTCTCCGATGATGTTCCACATCAGATGATGTTTGTCTGATGTCTCTAGGCCTTCTGTGGTTGGGCAGGAGATTAACACAGGGGGACCTCAATTAGTATTTCACGCTTGGTAATACTTCTCTCCTGACTGGGGTTTCCAGTTTCATAGCAAATACTTAAATATCACCTTGTAACATAGGATACAGAGAGTACAAGCGTGTGCAGCAACTCGCGTGCATTTCATAAAGTCCAAGCACTAAACACATTATCAACATAGCATGTATTTTAACAATGCTCGCACACCAGCGAGCTTTTGTCAGAGCTCAGTGAGGCCAAGGGACCTTGGCATGGGTTGGCTGCTGGTCTGCCAGCCTCTCAGCAGCACTCTGCAGTTCCTGATAGCTTTTGTTATGGTGGCTTGGGTTGTAAAGTAACGATCCGGCTAGTCTGTGTGCTGTGTGTTGCCAGAACCTAACTGCAGGAAAACCATTTTTCCCCCTTTTAGCAATCCGTGCTGGCTCAAAGGAAGTGCTTCAGAGTAAGAGCCTGAAGCAGTTGTTGGAGGTGGTTCTGGCCTTTGGAAACTACATGAATAAAGGCCAGAGAGGCAACGCCTTTGGGTTCAAAATCGCCAGCCTCAACAAGATTGCAGACACGAAGTCCAGCATTGACAAGTGAGCAACTCCTCCTGTCCCTTCTGGGAAAGCCCTTGTGGATTCTGAGTAACTCAGAGGATCCATAATTACTCCCTTCTTCATAGGTGCGGGTTAGAGGCGGGGAGCAGCCAACAAAGCCTTTGTCCTTTCGATGTTTCTTGGTGGCTAATTTTGGTTTCAATGGGCCTTCTTGCGTACAAGACCCAACAGTAGAAAGCCAGCATTTTACGCCAGTTCATGCATCTTTCCTGTTTGAATTACGCAGAGAGAGGTTTACAACGCAAGCACTCAATGGAACTTTATACCTGGATACTGATGGTATAAGTGAGATCAATACACGCAGCATCCTACAAGCATTTTCATCAAGTCTAAACGCGCTCTTATAACGCTGCTGTTTTAATAACAACACCGGTGAGCCAGGCTGGCTTCCAGATCTACATTTGTCAGTTTTTAGTGAGGCCTAGGAGCAGGGCTGGCCTTTCCATGAATCAAACTGAGGCTCCTGCCTCAGGTGCCATAAACTTGGGGGGGGGGGCGCCACTAGGACCCAGAATATAGAAAATTGTCTGCTGCTGGTGCCTTTGTATTCTCTCTGCTCGAGATGCACAGAGATGGTGGAGTGCTATGCGGAGGAAGGAGGGCACAGGAGACATAACTGGCAGGCAGGACAAAAGGAGGCATGGGGGCATCATTTGAGCTCCCCACCTCAAGTGCCAAAATGTTGTGGGTTGGCCCTGCCTAGAAGCCTTGACATGAGCTGGCATCTGGTTTTCCAGCATCACAGTTGCCTTTCTGGACATGCTGAAGGATACAGTGATAGACACCTGAGAAATCCCTTGGACAGACACTGTTTGGGGAGCAGAGGAAATACCCTACTTTTCATGGAGTAATTTCAGTGGCATCTTCATGTCTCTAGTGGATTCTGGGAAGGAATTTTAGTGGAGCCTGTGGTGGTGAGGCCATGTAAGTCTCTCTTACACCCCACTGCACTCTACAGTGTGGGGAATGGGTGCGTGGTTGCTGGGTTTGCTTTGAGTTTGTGCTTGAGGCTTGGGGTGACTTTTGGTCCTTTTCTGTAGAGTTTATAGCCCTGGAGCAACACATACTGTTTAGCTGCCGGGAGTGTCCCTCCAGTGCTGGACCATGCAGGCCAGCCAGAGCTGTGTTGTTGGGGCAAGTGGGTATCCAGCTGTGAAGGGAGAGGGGTGGTGAGGAAACCTTAACAGAGAAAGCCCTGCTTTCTGTCTCGCCCGCCACAGCCTGTCCTGGAGGAAGGGGATGGCCAGACAGCAGTTGTATTGGCTCCCAGCGCCAGGCTCCTCATGGTGAATGAGGGCTGCTGCACACTGCAGGGGTGCCCTCAGAGGGCGCCTGGTAAAATTGCTTGGATTTAAGTGAGTTCAACGACAATCCATCAGACGTACGGTGCAAACGTTCAAAATAGCATTAGGTTGACTGAGCACCCATTAAAAAGACACCCTGCATTATTATAACTAAAATAAGTAAAAATACTAAAATAAAATATACTTACAATTAATTAAGTGGTTACTGCTCTTTAGAAGTGCCTGCCTTGTCCCCAGCTTGCTGTTCTCCACGGGGTGGGCTGGTGGTGTGAGGCCTGGTAGAATGAGGGGGAGCTGCAGGAGTCAGGGTGGGAGGAGGTGGGGGCGGTTCCCCAGCCTGCTCTTGAAACAGCCTCCCTCTGCTGTGCAACATATCAGACAATTTGCGCCCCCCCCCCTGTTTTTTTTTAAAGCCTGCCTTCCAGAGAGCTAAAATAAGGAACTGGCCCTTTAAAAGCGGGACGGATGGTCACCCTACTCAAAGGGGCAGGAGCTGCAGTGGTTCCCAGATGATTCAGGGTGTCAGGGGAGAGGGCCAGGCTGGAGGTATCCGTACAGAACAGCACCATGAAAGGGCACGTAGGCAGTCTGCGACTGACGGCACCATACAGCGTGGAATAAAACACGCAGTGTTTCCTCTTTGCCAAGAAGCAGAGAGGGATAGAGACTTCTCCAGATTGTTTTCCTCCAGCCTCCTTTTTCAGCAAATGCTTGCGACGTTCTGCGGGCCTTTGCCCTGTGACCTAGCTGTCAACAGACTTGAATTGTGTTGGACCGGGGGGAGCAGCGTTCTAGAATCTCACGCCCTCCACTGACAATCCTTGGTCACCAGCTCCAAGATGCCTGATTGTAGGGACTCCTGGCCTGAGCTTCCCCACTTCCCCCCCATCGCAGGGACGGAGGTCGAGGCAATCTTGCGGCTAGCCAGACCCTAAAGCCTTGTAAAGCCCTTATAAACCAAAGTCAACACTTGGAACTGTGTAGGAAATGGATGCAGATCCCAGAACACCAAACGTCCATGTCCCGTGCAACTAATGATGCCCAGCATGCGTGCAGGCACCTTCTGCACCAGGCATGGATGGAGAACATCAGCACTGCTGGAATTCAGCCCCCTAGGGGGTGGAAGGGAGCTGCTGTTTGGCAGCGTCCCCAACCCTCGCCAGACTTTCAGGACAGGAAGTGAAGAAGGCTGTAACTAATTGGAACTGCTGGCATGTAGAATGTAATGATCCAAACAAGAATATGGCCAGGATTAGAGAGCTCATACCCAACTTCTGCAGCTATTTACAATTTAACTGTAATGTCCCCTTTCTTTTATCTTAGGAACATCACCCTTTTGCACTATCTCATCACTATTGTGGAGAAGAAATATCCCAAAGTCCTCGGTCTTCATGAAGAGCTGCGCGACATCCCTCAAGCAGCCAAAGTAAAGTAAGTAGAAGCGTAGGTGGCAACTTTAAACGAACAGAATATTGCACATGCGATAATATTACTAGGTCTTTTCCTTTTGTTTCTGGAAAGCTCCCTTCTCTACCAGTGTCTGGAATCCACCATTTAGAGAGAAGCAAAAGGCTGTTGGCAAATCACATGTCAACAGCAGAGGTTTTAAATCTTTGACCACGCAGAAAAGAACTGTAAATCCCTAGCGAGAGTAAGAGCCACTCGGGATAGTAGTGTCCTGTTGCATTTACCGCAAAATCATTTCAATTCAAAATATTCTGTTTGAGAATGTAGATGCCATTTTAGAATGAACATGTTTTTTGCAAAGATGGGGCTGCAGATCAGGGTCAGGTATTTAAATACGAATGCCACGACAGCATCGGCACAAAGAGGTGTGGTCCTTTTTCTGTGTGCCACCCAGGTGTAGGGCATGCAAATAGGGGAGCTGTTCACTCAAGCACCTTTAAACCAATGTGCAAACCTTGTGGCATCTGTTGCATTCTTCGAAAACTTGTCTTATGGCTTGCTGAATCCTGCTCACTTTGTTTTTAAACTAGTTGCAAGGCCAAGGTCCTGATTTAGTAAAGCCCTTAACGCATGCTTAAGTTGCGCTGAAATCAATGAGGTTCCAAAATGTGTGACTGCTTTGGGGCTTGAGTGTGTATTAATAAGTACAAGGTGCATGCATGTCTAAGGCTGAGCTGCTTGTGACTGAGGATGAATTGATATATATTAATGGGGGCCGTGTTAGTTCATTTAATCCTAAATTCTAGGGCGAGGGTGGGGGTGTGTGTGGGGGTGGGAATTTACAAAGCCTCCTAATTAGCTAGTGGTTCTTTGAGTTTCAAAGGGCCCTTTTAATGCAAAATCTAAGCTGGTCTTATTGGTTAATCTGTCGACTACACGCATCCCCACCCTTGCTGCCTCTATATCAGACAGCAGGACCGGTGGGGGAGGTGGGAGCCAGCACACACGGGGGCCAGCTTTTAAGATAGCTCTCCGCACATGCCAGCTCTGCGGAGCTGCTCCCCACCCTCGACAATCCATCAGACGTACGGTGCAAACGTTCAAAATAGCATTAGGTTGACTGAGCACCCATTAAAAAGACACCCTGCATTATTATAACTAAAATAAGTAAAAATACTAAAATAAAATATACTTACAATTAATTAAGTGGTTACTGCTCTTTAGAAGTGCCTGCCTTGTCCCCAGCTTGCTGTTCTCCACGGGGTGGGCTGGTGGTGTGAGGCCTGGTAGAATGAGGGGGAGCTGCAGGAGTCAGGATGGGAGGAGGTGGGGGCGGTTCCCCAGCCTGCTCTTGAAACAGCCTCCCTCTGCTGTGCAACATATCAGACAATTTGCGCCCCCCCCCCTGTTTTTTTTTAAAGCCTGCCTTCCAGAGAGCTAAAATAAGGAACTGGCCCTTTAAAAGCGGGACGGATGGTCACCCTACTCAAAGGGGCAGGAGCTGCAGTGGTTCCCAGATGATTCAGGGTGTCAGGGGAGAGGGCCAGGCTGGAGGTATCCGTACAGAACAGCACCATGAAAGGGCACGTAGGCAGTCTGCCCCCCCTGTTTTTTTTTAAAGCCTGCCTTCCAGAGAGCTAAAATAAGGAACTGGCCCTTTAAAAGCGGGACGGATGGTCACCCTACTCAAAGGGGCAGGAGCTGCAGTGGTTCCCAGATGATTCAGGGTGTCAGGGGAGAGGGCCAGGCTGGAGGTATCCGTACAGAACAGCACCATGAAAGGGCACGTAGGCAGTCTGCGACTGACGGCACCATACAGCGTGGAATAAAACACGCAGTGTTTCCTCTTTGCCAAGAAGCAGAGAGGGATAGAGACTTCTCCAGATTGTTTTCCTCCAGCCTCCTTTTTCAGCAAATGCTTGCGACGTTCTGCGGGCCTTTGCCCTGTGACCTAGCTGTCAACAGACTTGAATTGTGTTGGACCGGGGGGAGCAGCGTTCTAGAATCTCACGCCCTCCACTGACAATCCTTGGTCACCAGCTCCAAGATGCCTGATTGTAGGGACTCCTGGCCTGAGCTTCCCCACTTCCCCCCCATCGCAGGGACGGAGGTCGAGGCAATCTTGCGGCTAGCCAGACCCTAAAGCCTTGTAAAGCCCTTATAAACCAAAGTCAACACTTGGAACTGTGTAGGAAATGGATGCAGATCCCAGAACACCAAACGTCCATGTCCCGTGCAACTAATGATGCCCAGCATGCGTGCAGGCACCTTCTGCACCAGGCATGGATGGAGAACATCAGCACTGCTGGAATTCAGCCCCCTAGGGGGTGGAAGGGAGCTGCTGTTTGGCAGCGTCCCCAACCCTCGCCAGACTTTCAGGACAGGAAGTGAAGAAGGCTGTAACTAATTGGAACTGCTGGCATGTAGAATGTAATGATCCAAACAAGAATATGGCCAGGATTAGAGAGCTCATACCCAACTTCTGCAGCTATTTACAATTTAACTGTAATGTCCCATTTCTTTTATCTTAGGAACATCACCCTTTTGCACTATCTCATCACTATTGTGGAGAAGAAATATCCCAAAGTCCTCGGTCTTCATGAAGAGCTGCGCGACATCCCTCAAGCAGCCAAAGTAAAGTAAGTAGAAGCGTAGGTGGCAACTTTAAACGAACAGAATATTGCACATGCGATAATATTACTAGGTCTTTTCCTTTTGTTTCTGGAAAGCTCCCTTCTCTACCAGTGTCTGGAATCCACCATTTAGAGAGAAGCAAAAGGCTGTTGGCAAATCACATGTCAACAGCAGAGGTTTTAAATCTTTGACCACACAGAAAAGAACTGTAAATCCCTAGCAAGAGTAAGAGCCACTCGGGATAGTCGTGTCCTGTTGCATTTACTGCAAAATCATTTCAATTCAAAATATTCTGTTTGAGAATGTAGATGCCATTTTAGAATGAACATGTTTTTTGCAAAGATGGGGCTGCAGATCAGGGTCAGGTATTTAAATACAAATGCCACGACAGCATCGGCACAAAGAGGTGTGGTCCTTTTTCTGTGTGCCACCCAGGTGTAGGGCATGCAAATAGGGGAGCTGTTCACTCAAGCACCTTTAAACCAATGTGCAAACCTTGTGGCATCTGTTGCATTCTTCGAAAACTTGTCTTATGGCTTGCTGAATCCTGCTCACTTTGTTTTTAAAGCAGTTGCAAAGCCAAGGTCCTGATTTAGTAAAGCCCTTAACGCATGCTTAAGTTGCGCTGAAATCAATGAGGTTCCAAAATGTGTGACTGCTTTGGGGCTTGAGTGTGTATTAATAAGTACAAGGTGCATGCATGTCTAAGGCTGAGCTGCTTGTGACTGAGGATGAATTGATATATATTAATGGGGGCCGTGTTAGTTCATTTAATCCTAAATTCTAGGGCGAGGGTGGGGGTGTGTGTGGGGGTGGGAATTTACAAAGCCTCCTAATTAGCTAGTGGTTCTTTGAGTTTCAAAGGGCCCTTTTAATGCAAAATCTAAGCTGGTCTTATTGGTTAATCTGTCGACTACACGCATCCCCACCCTTGCTGCCTCTATATCAGACAGCAGGACCGGTGGGGGAGGTGGGAGCCAGCACACACGGGGGCCAGCTTTTAAGATAGCTCTCCGCACATGCCAGCTCTGCGGAGCTGCTCCCCACCCTCCTTGCTACCTCCCACAGAGGCAGCAGGGAGGGATAGGCAGGAGCCAGTACTCCTGGGAAGCAGCTTTCAAGCCAGTTCCTGCACATGTTGGCTCCCGCGGAGCTGCCTGGCCCCCCGCACTGCTGCCTCTTTATCAGAGGCAGCGGGTGGGGGCAGGTGGGGAGCTGGCTCCCCATGAGTGCTGGCTCCTGCCTGCCCTTCCCTGCGTGTAAACGTGTAACTGCTAACATTTCTCGTGGTTACACATTTACTCAACTATTTTTAATTTGATTTTTAATTTGAGACTTTTATAAGGCAGTACGCATAGCTTGAAAGAAACACTAACTAGTTTCACATTTGTCCAAAAGGCCACACTGTCTGTCAACATAATTTGACACCTGAGAGCTGCTAATCTGAAGAGAGGAAGCACAGTGAGGGATTGTTTTAAATGGGGGGGAAAACACAGCTGATGCGAGCACAGAGTTCTGGAATTCATTGGCAAAGGCTTCAAATTAAAGCGCTGCCATTTTCAACAGCATGACGGAGCTGGAGAAGGAAATAAACACCTTGAGGAGTGGACTGAAGGCTGTGGAAACTGTAAGTATTATTTACCCACTTGATAGTCCACTCTGATTCCAAGTATCATAGCATCCGTCCTTAGGGAGGTAGGACAGGAAGCCCTTAGCAAAGCTGCTTTTATCTTATTTCCTGGAGATCAGTTTGGCTTTCCTTCCTGCCATGCATGTGTGTCTGTTCTCTGAAGGCTGCTTCAGGATGGGAGTAGGCTGCTTATAAATCAGCCAAGCACCTGAGAGATTCACAGAGAGTTGGGGCTTAGTTTAGTTAGTTGATGTTGACCAAAACCATGAAGAGGTAATAAACGAGGACTTGGCTTTGCCACAATAAAACAGCCCATCATGGAGACCACAAAGCAGACAGTAGTTCCTCATGAGGCCTGGGAAGGAAGTGGTGAACAAATGGATTGGAAGAGGTCTCCGTGCATGTAGGAGAAGGGGATATATTGATAGTTTGGGTGGCTCGCCACAATTCCACGTGTGGTGGTAGGGAGAGAGGGAAAAGTCCACCTTGTGGCCTGGTGACCTGACAGAACATTGAACCTGTAAGTGATGAGAGAGGGTTTGCACGGTAAAATACCTTAGGCAGCCTGCTGGGCTCTGTAAAGTGTGGTGCACAGCTCCAGTCAATGATAGAAGCTCTGCATTGACCAGTACTGAGTGTGCGTGCAAGTGTATTATGTACAAGCAGTTTAGGGAGTTAAGTGCTACAAGAAAAGTAACAGGTAAACGAGTAGTCCTGTGGCACCGTTCATATGTACAAGCAGTTTAGGGAATTAACAGGTAAACGAGTAGTCCTGTGGCACCGTACAGACTAACAAAAATATATAGTGTCATGAGCTTTTGTGGTAAAACCCATTTCATGGGATACTCTGTAACTTTAAAAATGAGTAGTCTTAACACGGCTACCCCGTGAGGCTTTCTATAGTATATCTTGTAACTCTCTTGCATTTGACAGTGCAAAGAGATGGTGGTGGAGTTTAAACTTCAGTAGCCATAGATACAGTAAGATGAGTAAAGTGGGTATGTTGTGTCCTTTTTTCAGAGGAAAGCCATGTGTAAACAAGAGCAAGTTGTAGGTTTGTTACTGTTAGTTCATGCTTTGATTTCTGCAAAGGGTTGGGAAATTGCCAGCCTTAACACGAAGATTCAAGAGGAACCACTAGAAAACTGCCTACTAAATGTGGAGCGCACATGCTGAGTCCTGGAAGCAAAATGCTAATCTGGGAAGCTAGGTTTCTGCCAGCACCACTCATTCAGCAGACAAATTCAGAACGGTTTAGCTGGTTCCATAGAGGAAATAGAATGGAAAGTTGGCCTGTCATTGTACAATCACACCAAGGAATTGGGTGGAATAGGAAGAGATGAGAACAAATTATTACCATGGCAACATCGTCAAGGCAGGTAGCCCTGGAATGAGGCCTGTCACTTCTGGGTATGTTACAAAGCCTCACCTCTGTTCAATGTACCCGCTCTGAGCAGAGAGGATGCGTTTCTCACAAGAGCAGAGGAGACAGGTGGAACAGAGTCGGTCACGTCTTCCCGATCAGACACCTTGATCCTAAGGTTTATTGTCAGGCTATCTAGTAAAATACTTGAAATCTTACCTGTGCTATAGCTGCTGCCTGAGGAAAGAGACTTTTCTGAGGATCAGGGAGCACTCTTTATAGTAAAGTGGCTTTTAAGATGAGATACATTTTGGGCTTTGTTAAATATGCAATGTTGTGTCTCCCTTTTTAAACAGACACTGACCACAATTGAATTTATTTCCTTAAGGAACTGGAATACCAGAAATCGCAGCTCTCTAATCCTGGAGACAAGTTTGTGTCAGTCGTCAGCCAGTTCATCACCTTAGCCAGCTTTAGCTTCTCTGATGTTGAAGATCTTCTGACGGAAGCTAAAGAACTGGTAATATCTCTGATATCATCTGTGAGCCTCTCTCGACAAAGAGGACTAATCCAGTGGTGATTGAAGCCTATCTCAAATCCTACCAAAAAACAATTGAAGGGCTTGTCTGCTCCAGACCACCATGTCACTTTGTGTTTCAGTCAGGGCGTGGCAACCATTTGAATATGTGCACATGGCTGGTATGAGGCCTTTCCTTGCTGTGCTGACCTAAGCCCAGTTAAAGTGTGGACCATCATCTAGCTGCTGTCAAAGATGGTGAACGTTCTTGGTCTCCTCTTTCCCCTCCCCACCCCATAAACACCACAGGTCTTCGACTCTCACCCCACTATCAGAGTCCTCTGACCGTGTCTCCCTACTGCACCGCCCCCTCTGTGGAAATGCCACCTCCATTCCTGATTATGGAATTCTCAGCCAGGAGGCCTCTTCGGTTCCCTGGCTGAGGGAATGGTCAAAGATGGCAGCTGTCAGCAGTCACAGCCCTGCTGAGATGCATCCATGGTGACATTCAGCAGTTTGAACTGCAGTGGGCATTTACCCAGACCAACTACCAGGCTCACTTAATGCTGCCCTCCGGCCAATCAGCTGGTACACTGTTATGTATGGATACGAAGTGCATTCAGTGAAAGGAGATGCTACAAGTGATGGCACGCTGTTCAAGTGTAGACAAGTCCTAAGTGTCACTCAAGGCCTGCTCTAAAATGGCTGAACTGTTGTTTCGACAGCTGTCAGCACAGCAGCCATACACTGTAGCCTGAATCGTGCTCAGTTAATGTGAGGTTCACTGTTAAAAGGCTCCTCTGGGTTTGAGTCGGGCCTGCGTCGTGCTCAGTTAGTGTGAGGTTCACTGTTAAAAGGCTCCTCTGGGTTTGAGTCTCGTTCTTGTTATTCCTGAGGTTGCCGGGCCACTGTTCTGGAAAGTTCCAGGTGGCATGAGGATAACATTTTCAGAATTCCCTAAGACTGTCTCTGTGGTCCTTCAGCTTAGATGTAAGGGTGTGAATTGCAGCATGCGCTAGTGTGCTGTGCTGTACCTTCCCAGGGTGGACACTAAAGGCGGGAGGTACTTGGGTCACAGGAACGTTCTTTTGAACAGGATCACGTTAGTACGAGGTAGATACCTGATAGCTTGTGCCCTCAGTGTCTGCAGAGTGGGGAGATAATCCAGCACAGTAGTGTCATTGCAATTCACAATGTAGGCCCATCAATTCTTAAATCTCATTGTAAGTCGATGGGACATTACAAATCTGACCCTTAATACTTTAAGGGCCTAAAGGTACAGATAGGCACCTAATGAAATTTTCAAAAGCATCACCTAGCTGTCATTGATTTCAATGGGAGTCCATCACCTGGGTGCTTTAGAAAACTTCTTTAGGCACCCATCTGTATTTTTAGGCCCCTAAACACCTTTGAAATCTGGTCTAAGTCCTACTGAGTTTCACTGAGACTAAGGAAGTAGCTAAGTCTCTTTTGAAAATGGGACTTAGATACTTTCAAAAATCTTTCTTTATTCTTTCTGACAGCAGAGTGGAAACAAAAGTAACTAGTAAAGGTGTTGTTTTTTTCATGTTTGTGTTTTTAAGTTGGATAATATAAAAAATGTATAATCACAATTTTTAGCAACCTTCCTTCTCTCACCCTCTCTGTTCCCTGCCTTTCCTTTCCCCGAGTTGCAAATAAGCACAAGGCACTTCAGTCCAAAGGAGAACTTATGTCATCCTGACAGAAGTCTTGCGTCAACCTTAGCTACAGCATTGCTGTAATCACATTAATTATTTGTCAATGGTGCTGTAGATCTTGCAAACTTCCTCCTCCTCCATCTGGGGTAATTTCTGAGCTGAATAATAAATGCCTTTTAAAAGCTTCACTAACACATTTGGTTTCAATATTGAACCATGTGGAAACAATAAATAATACCCCAAAAATTCTTCAAAGAAAAGTTAAAAGTGCAAGTTTCCTACCCCTGCCATGTCTACTATTAGTTTTATGTCTTCAGTCTTCGGCACCACAATATTTTGCTTCCTTGTTTTTACTACTGCTTAGTTAATAAAACTGAGTTAGGTAATAAAGGATGTTAAGCAGAAACAGGAGTGTAAAACTTCTTACATGATTTAAGAGGGGCCTTTAAAGGAACAGCCCATTGGACAATCTTTGGTTAATTGCCACCACTTAATGAGCAGAAGACAAAGTATGATTTAAAAAAAACAAAACACCTGAGACTTGAATTACTAGCTAATTCATTTTCCATTTAATTCCATGCTCCATCAAATACCACTGTAAATATTACTCTGGTTTTCAAGAAAGGATTTTGTGGGTTCACTGGATTCTCACTTGCTTACTGCTTACTCCTCTTTTCCCCAGTTTACCAAGGCAGTGAAGCACTTTGGGGAAGACTCTGGCAAAATGCAGCCGGATGAGTTCTTTGGGATCTTCGATCAGTTTCTTCAAGCTGTGACAGAGGCCAAGCAGGAGAATGAGAACATGAGGAAAAGGAAGGAGGAAGAGGAGCGTCGGGCGCGCATGGAAGCACAGGTGAGAGGAGAACCTGCTTGCTGTGATCTCCGGTGCTGGTTGGCTCTCGTGGTCGAGTCGGCGTCAGTGTGTGCTCCAGGAGGCTAGACAGGGAATGGAGATGGTGACTGTTTCATTAGCACATGCTTGAAAATGTCAGATTCATTTCAGGGCTAGCGAGGGGAGGGGCTTTGGATGTTTTGCATCTTGACCTAAGTCTTCTGCCATTGATGTGGACAGTGGCACTTCCAGTGACTTGAGTGAAAACAGTTAGGCTTAGGCTGAGAGCTTTTGGAAATCTCTACCCCCTAAGTGTCCCTCTTCCCCTGGAGAGGAAGAATGATCTTGTAGTTGGGGCATTGGACTAGGGTGCAGAAGATCCAGGCCCAGACTATCCAGTTCTGCCCTGGACTTCCTGTGACCTTGGACATGTCACTTTGTCTCTGAGGAAATGGGGATAATGCTGACTTGATTTCTCCCATCCCCGGGTGTCTTGTCTACTTACACTGCAAGATCTCCAGGGCAGGCCCTCTGTATGTGCAGCCCATGATGCAACTGTGCCCTCCTTGCTTTCCAAATTCTTGGAGTGCCCCCCCCCCAGTCAAATTATTGCCCATCCCTGCCATAATACATACTACAGGTTGCACCTCCCAAATCTGGGATTCTCTCATCTGGCAACATCTGTGGTCCGGCACGACCATGGACAGGGCTCGCCAGGCAGCAGCGAGCCTTGGAGAGCCCAGGGGCAGGAGGGTCAGCAGATGGGAGCCCAGTGCACCCCTGCCAGTCTACCAGCTGCGGGGCCACAGCAGCCGGGGAGGAGAGGGATCGGGGCTGTCTGCCGCTGAGTAGTACAGCCCAGCCCAAGAGGGGAAGTCTGGCCAGGCCATGTCCGCTTGGGAAGCAGCAGGGCTGCAGAAGTAGCAGCGTGATTAGGGCTGCCTGCCACTGGGCATCGGGGCGGGGGTTGCAGCCACCGCAGCCCAGGAAGGGAAACCAGCCTCAGCAGACTGGCAGAATCAGCGTGACTGGTACCACATGCTGCACAGCAGTGGGGCTAAAGCTGGGGCAGCCCGATCGGACAGCCTGCCATTCAGCAGTGGGGCAGCAGAGCCGAGGCTGGGGCAAACCTGCAGACAGCCCAGCTGCGCTGAAGGAGCTGGGAGCGGGGAGGAGTGGCAGGCTGAGGGGCTGGTATCACAGGACCTCCTCTCATCCGGGACTGGTCAGGTGCTAAGGGTGCTGCACGAGAGAGATCCAGCCTGACTAATTGCTTCTCTTCAAAGCAAAATCAGTTTTGCTCCAAGAAGCAATGTTGAAAGGCAGCCATAGAGTTCGATCTAACTCATGACTACAGACCAGCCACAACTTTTTTGCCTTCGGAAAGTGTATGAGCCTGGATGGAAGGGACGCCTTGCATTAAGCCACATGTTGCATAGATGCCAAGGCTAGAAGGGGCCACTGTGATCCGCTAGTCTGACCCACTGTATTACACAGGGCATTGAACGGCCCCGAAATAATGCCTAGAGCAGATCTCTTAGGAAACCCCTCCAAGCTTGATTTACAAGTTGCCGGTACTGGAGAATCCACTGTGAGCGTCGGTAAATCGTTCAGTGGTAAGTTACTCTCGCTATTAGAAAGATGCATTTGTCTCGCTTCAACTTCAAGCCATTGGATTGTGTTAGACCTTTCTGTGCCAGAACAAAGAGCCCATTATTAAGTATTTGTTCCCCTTAGATGCTTATAGACTGTGACCAGATCTCCCTTTAGCCTTCTCTTAAGTTAAACAGTCTGAGCCCCGCGCTGTAAGGAATACAAGGAATCCAGATCTCTTCGAGCCTTGCCATCAGGCAGGTTTTCTATTCCTTGAGTCATTCGTGTGGCTCTTCTCTGAGCCCTCTCCAGCATATCCACATCCTTCCTCAATTGTGGGCACCAGAATTGGACACAGGATCCCAGCAGCAGTCAGGCTAGCCTCAAATATAGAGGTGAAAGAAACTCTCTGCTTCCCCTGTTTATGCATCTCAGAATCGCATTTGCTTTTTTTGGTCACAGTGGAAGCTGGGGGCGTGGATCAATGTTCATGTCACACTCCCTATCAATACCTGGCCTGAGACGCTAATGATCCAGCCACCCAGCAAAGTTCAGTCACCTGCCACCGGAGCCAGGTTTACACTAAGAAGTGGGAGTTCATGTTAGGCCGGGGTGGGCAAAAGGGCCTCCGCGGGTCGAATCCAGCCCGCCAAGCGGGTGGATCCAGCCGGCGGAGGCCCTGCTGCTCTCCTGCCCCCATGCCAATTATTCCGCTCTGTCCCCTGATGGAGGCAGCAGCACAAAGGGTGAGGGGAATGGGAAGGAGGCAATACGCACCGGAGCCAGCACCTATCCTCCCCCCCACTTGCTGCTTCCTACAGAGGCGGGGCTGGGGGTGGGGGAGAGACTGTGCTTAGGGTGAGCTGACTTTTAAGCCGGCTCCCCTAGTTCTGGCTCTGTGGAGCCACCTGCAGAGGGAGCAGGATTGGTGGTGGGCAGGGGAGGCTGCTGCGAAGCAACCTCTGTCCACAGCAGGCCTGTGCTCCCTACGAACAGTCTGCTCCATAGTTCCCCACAGACAGAGGCTGTTCCAGCTTGGACCCTTCATGGACAGGGGCTGCCGCTGCCCTACACTGTCTCAGTAGGAAGCCAGTTTTTAAACAGGCTCCCCTTGCAGACCAGCTCCTGCCTGCCACCCTACACTGTTGCCTCTGATACGCAGCAGCACGGGATGACAAACGGCTCCCTGGGCGTGGGCCAGGAACATGCTGGCTGCCCACCTCACCTCCGGGGACTATGGAATAGTCATGTACCTGCTACATTTTGACGCGATTACGCGACTCTTCAATTACACGCCATCTGACATCCCTGCGGTAGGTGGAGATGCTGCAGATTTGCAGTTCTCAGTACGGGACCACCTCTCGTGGTCTGATTGGAAAAAGGGAGGCAAATTCACCGAGGCAGCTCAACTCTGCAGACCTTGTCAAGCTTGTGCCGAGCCTGAATTCGGCCCCACCGTGAGCTCTGATAACTGGTGTAAGTTTTTGATAGTCACTGTGGAACACCTGACTCTTTTTCCACAGGAGAGGACAAAACTGGGATTGCTCTAGCCAAAGCTACACCAGGGGTGCGGTGTTGCGGCACTGTGCATAAAAAGCATGTCGCCTAGGGAATACAGATGCTCCTGGGGAGCTGGCTGCTGCCCTGCACTGCTGGCTCTCCAGAAGCAGGGCCAGAGCCGATGCGCTCCAGGAACTGGTTTATCATATAAGCTGGCTCCTGGCACACACCGGCTCCCGGCCCAGCTCTCAGGGAACTGGCTGAGCTGCGGGCTCTGTAGTATCAGCCTTATAGTGCAAAGCAGTGACAGAAATGGATCGCGATGTCTACTGGCCAGCTGTCGAATGTCTGCTGGCTCCCGGAAACTTAGGTTGTTTTTTTTAAATTATAGGATCAGATTGGGTGGGGTTGAAGTTCACTTGCCCAGTGGCTGCCCCCTTGTAGTGCCCTAGGGGGTTTGTATCACCCCAAATAAGTTGGGGGAAGCAGAGGGGGCAGTGGCTTGGTCATCTGTCTCCTTCCTTGCTCCTTGCACCAGAAAACGTTGCTGGCTAGTAGGCCTGGCTGACGACAAGGAAAGAATTTTTTCACTTTTTCTTTTATTTTTCTTCCACCCGCTGAAGTGTGCAAACATGCGCCACTGACTAGCGTGATCGCGGGTCAGACCCTGAGCACATGTCTGTTTAATTTTCAGTTTTTATGTGGCTTTTTATCACTATTGAAAACCAGAATTGTTCCTGTTTCCACCAGGCCAGGCACGGGTGGAGGCATCTGCTGCCCCCTCCAAAGTCCGTGTGGTACCAAGGGCCTGTTTCCCATGTATGCTTCCTGCTTCTGGGAGGCACAGCAAGGGGGAAGCATGAGCACACGACAAACCAGGAGGCTCCTGAAGATGCTGCTGGAGCAGCGTAGCTGGACCTGTGCGCTTGTTACACTAGCGTTGTCTGGCTTTAACAGTGTGGGCCTAGTTCGTGATACAACCACGTACTCTGGTTTTGGGTATATTGGAATGAAGGGTACAGTGATAGCCTTCCAGTATGAGGGGGTATTAACTGAACCCGTCAGTCACCATTACTGATAAAGTTGTATCCATTCAAGGGGTTGTAGCAGTTTAACCATTTTGATTTAAAAAAAAAAAAAAATCACGCCCCAATCCATCTCGTGATGGTGATAAATTACTTAAAGGTAGACCAGGCCAAAAAATCAAAACAAGGCCTTGAATTGTGTGTGTCCAGACTCCTTTCAGGTCCGTGTGTTACAGAAAATGAGATGGATTATTTTTCTTCTTGGTTTCTGTCTAGCTGAAAGAACAGCGCGAGCGGGAACGCAAGGCCAGAAAGGCTAAAGAAAACAGCGAGGAAGGTGGGGAGTTTGATGACCTTGTTTCAGCTTTGCGGTCAGGCGAAGTCTTTGATAAAGACCTTTCGAAACTGAAACGGAATCGCAAGCGCATCGCCAACCAGCTGACGGACAGCAGCCGGGAGAGGCCAGTCACCAAACTCAACTTCTGATCCTTTGGTTTTGTAAACATTTTAGAAAACCGATTAGCAGTCTTTTTGAAGTGGCTAGGATTTTTCATTACACTGCCTTGTAATTCAGACCGAAATGGTGGCACACTTTGTGTGTGTGTGTGTGTGTGTGTGTGTGTGCGTGTGTGTGTGTGTTGTGTATATAAAAGTCTGGTTGTTGGTGTGTATGGAGAATACATGTGTGTCTGTATGTCAGGACAGTGTGCATATGTGTGCCATACAAACACATATATAGACACTTGTCTGAGTGCAACTTCCATTTCCTTTCCTTCAGTCTCCTTGTTCAAAAAGTAGTTAACCTGGTGCATAAGCACAACATCGTGTCTACTGAGAAAGAGATAACGAAAACATTCCTTGTAGTAAACAAAGGCATTGAGAAATACTTTCTACTTGATCTCCCATTGGCGTTCTTTACCTTGGGAGCATAGAGAGAAACAAAAACGCACCTCCGTTTGAACCACTGGCGCTGAGGTGTCATCGCAAACTGCTGAGGATCAGCTTGGAATCTGTAGAATACAGCGTAAGAAAACAGTTTGTAGAAGTCTACTATGAACGCCCTGCATACAGTCTGAAGTGTGTTTAAAAAAAGTCAAGTGGAAACAATCCATGTTGTTATTATTCAAGACTTGAACATCTGTGCTCTTGTGCTGGTTCCAATGAGTTTTGTACTGTAACGTCTCTTGATAATCCCTTTTCAATTGTTTTTGGGAAGCACGATCCTTCTCTTACCACAACCCATGCTCTTGCTGAAGACAGATTACCACAGTGTGCTTACTGCTGTAACAATACATAGACATAGTTCTACTTTTTCAGTGTTTTCGTGCCCAAGACAAATGGGAGATGGGGGGGTGGGAGAGGGTTTCCTCTACTGAGAAAAAGAGCATAAACTTTTTGTGTTCTAATTTTTTCCATTTTCGGTTCAGTGGGACAAACTGTATCCTCTAAGGCCAGGTCTGCAGTAAAAAGTTAAGTCAACCAAACAATGTTGCTCAGGATGTGAAAAATTTCCTGAGTGATGTAGTTATGCCGACCTAACCCCTGGTGTGCTAGAATTGTTCTGTTGGTGTAGCAACCTCCTCCGGAGGAGACAGACTATCTACAGTGACAGGGAGTATCTACAGTATCTGCAGTAGCTTTTCTAGTGTAGGTATAACCTAAATGTTGGTCTGAACGGATGGTCTTTTAAACCAATGCACAAAGGACTTGATCCAGAACCCATTGTGTCAATGGACCGGACTTCATTGATTTCAGTGGGCTTTGAACGAGGCCCTTTGTTTTTAATGGACAGACAGCAGCAATGATGCCAAGAAATATTTCTCTGAACAGACTTTTTCAAGTTGTTCGCTGTTTATATGGTCATTAAAATTTGTAAGCAAAGCTACCTGTAAAATGTCAGTCCAAAAAAAAAATCCAAAGCTCTCAGGGAGTAAAATAGTAGCAAGTAATAAATACATTTAAAAAAAATAAAAAAAATTGGAAAATAAAACGTAAATGTCATTAACATAGTAACACTTAATATTCTTAAATTATACAGAATATATAGAAGACTGTTACTTTTGCTTTTATTTATTTGTGGTGTTTTTTTTAAAAAAAACAACAAACTCTTTTATACCATCAATATTCTTGTGATCTTTTTTGTTTTTTTGTTGTTTTTCCTGTGGAGAGATTAGTTTGTCCCTATTGCACTAGATATTAACACTATTCGAAATACGTTTTTTTTCATGTAATGGGTATTATTGGCGGGATTGGGATGTCATTTTTTCCTATCTGTACTGTATAGCAAATATGCTGTTTAAACTAACTTGTAGAAAACTATGGTTCTTAGCACCTAGAGACCCAGGATCTCTGTGCTTTCTGAAAGCTGTGAAGTATCACTCTTAAAAAGAGTTGTCAAGAGCTGTGGTCTTACAATTTTTTTTCCTCATTGCACCATTCACACTGTAAGTATAAAAAAGTGTATAAAGCAGTAATAAATACAAAGGGGATGGCTTGGTAAAGTCCTGCACCTCCTAGCAAAGCAACTGCAAAACCTGCAAATTTTCAAAGATTGGGCGTGAAGCACTTTGTTTTAAGAAGAAGAAGAAGAAGAAGAAAGGAGTTAAAATAATGGTAATTCTTGTTCCTTAACTAAAGTGCCTCAATTTATATTTTTTATTTATGGCTTAAGAAATTTGGGCGGACGCAATGTGAGGAACGGACTCTGCCTGGCAGGCACGGGAGTCGTGTCTGATGACCTGAGGAAAGGTCAGTTAATTGTTTTGCTAGAATAATGCCTTTTGAATTTGAAAAGGCTGAGGCCTCTAGTCTTGCATTGAGGTCCTTCTTCCACGGCACATGGTAGCCATGCAAAGCTCTCGGGCTTCACCTTATGGGATTCCAGTGGAGGATCCGAGGCTTAGTTACCTTTCCGGACTGTTCTTCTTTTCCATCAGCCTGGTGATTGGGCTGCATTTGCCATTTAGTTTTCTTTCCAAACAAAAGGCTGTGTGCAGGTAAATCCATGTGCCATTGCTGAAAACTACTTTTCAACAGGTGCTGGTGTCAGTAGCCACTCTTTTTTTTTTTTTTTTTCTCTCTCTGTGTTTCTCTCTCTGGTGTTTATTTTTCAGGTTGTTTTTTTTTAATAATGCCAAAAAGGAAAAAACTGCTTGTAAACTGAAGTATATGTCATGGACCTTCTTAGCTTAGTAGTGGACCAATTTAGGTGCCAGAATGTTAGTAGTTTAGCTGCCAGGAAATGCTGTGTATGGTATGAGATTGTACATTTTTTTTTAAGATGGCAATATGCAATAAAGCAAAAGGATTGCATTGAGTGTATGTCCACGGAGCCCACGAGTTATTTTTGAAGCCAATTTTCAGAGCAGCCACTCCTATGTCTCCTCAGAAGAAAATGCCATTGCCGATTTTGGATAATTGTGGGTAGGCTGCCGATTTGTAGAGACAGATTCAACCCCAAAAAAATTTTTAAATGAGTTCACACAGGGCCAGATTCTAGTCTGTCTGACCATCGCAAACCTGAAGTCGTGACCTGTGTGCTTGTACAGTCTACATACTGAGCACCTCACAGCCAATCATGGATTCACCATGGCTGCACCCCAGTAAGGGGCAGAATTACTGTCCCCATTTCACTGTTGGCAGCTCTATGCTACGGGCATGAGTTGATCTAAGCTCCGCGATTTGAGTTACCATAGTAACGTCAAGTCGATGTAGCTTGACTTATTTACTGAGAGGTCCACACTGTGCTGGGTTGATGGGAGAAACTCTTCCGTTGACTCCCCTTATTCTTCTCATTCCGCTAGAGTACTGGAGCTGACGTCCAAGCAATTGGTGGTCAGTTTAGCGGGTCTTCACTAGACCTGCTAAATCAATCCCAGGTAGAGCTACACTGTGGCAAGCGATCCACACAGGAGTAGAGACAAGCCCTGGGAAATAAGATTAAAAAGCAAAACTTTCCAAGAGCACTTACATTGACTGAAGTGTCTGTAAGTGCCACTGAAGGTCCATGGGAGGGGGAGATTTAGTGTTAGCTGTGGAGCACAATGGGTTTGAGGAGGAGGGGGTGAGGACAAGCAATGAGAGTGGTCGACTGTGGTATCCGAAGGGCAGAGAGTGTGGGTAGGGAACAGTGGGAGGGAGACACAGGCGTAAGGGGCGACCAGGGCTACTGGAGAAAGGAACAGCTAAATGAGGAGGCTGGGGTGGGAAATACTTTGCTTCATGTGCTTGCAGGATGGAAAGGGAGTTCAGCTAATGATTGCATCTCTGGGTGCAGTTCGCCTGCATGCGGAGGCAGCATCCTGTGTCTGCATCGCTCCAGCCCAGTTTTGTGGGTAGAAGTAGGGCAGGAATACTGCCTTGGCCGCATGCCGTTGTTCTGCACAGGGCTGGATTTCACCCGGCTTGACAGAGACCCAGATTCCAGCAAGCAGAGACCAATTTCAGACACTCCTGCAGGACAGACCGTGTGTATCCAGCCCACCCCTCCCGCACAGACGAGATGGGGGGCGCAGGGAGAGGGTCTCTCAGAGAAGGTTGCTGGATTGGTTAACAGAAGCCCGTGGTGAATGCATTACCGCCAAAAAGTCTGCGGCTTGTTTACTAATGTGAATGGAAAAGGTTATATTTGTTTCTGAGGCACAATTATTTACATGTATCCTCTTGCTAACCTTTGGAACGGTCTCTTGTGATGCCACTCGGATCAGAGGGACTCTGCGGCTCCCTTGAGTCTGGTGCAGCAGCCGGGCAATACCGAAGAGAAGTTGCTGGCTGGGGGGTACAGGTGGCAGCCACACTGAACAAGGAGTAGTGTCACTTGTGCTGCATCCTATGTGGCCAGCAACATGACATCTGCTGCTCCTACTGCTTTGGTTTCTGAAAATGTGTAGAACGTAAGAATGGCCGGACCAATGGTCCATCTAGCCCAAGAGCCTGTCTTTCAACAGCCGCCAGCGCCAGTTGCTTCGGAGGGAATGAAGAGAACAGCGCAACTTTGAGTAAGCCGTCACCGTCATTCAGTCCCAGTTTCTGGCAGTCAGAGGTTTAGGGATACCTGGAACATGGTACCTGACCAATTGGGCTATTGCAGAGCTATCCTCCATGAACTTCTCCATATTTCTTTTCTCAGGCAGCCACCCTGTGATCTACTTTGGCCAAACGACTCGCTGGCCTCATGGAATGGGAGGCGAGAGGGCTCAGGAATCCCCATCTGCCATCCCCTTGGTCTGACAGAACCCCAGCTGAGTGGCATTTTGAGTAATAGCCTAGGCCCAGGGGGAGTGCCTTGAGGTGTTCCATGGCCTAGCAGGGGAAGGTCCGGGCTTCCCAGCATGCAGAGGGGCAGAGATGAATAATGATCCTGTTTGGAGCAGGGTCAGGAGAACGGCCGAGTGTGCTTCGCTAGATGGCCCCTGTGCTGGATTTAGGCACAGGGAGCATGGGCTTGTATCTGGGGACCCAGCACCTGGAGTCATGTGACTGTCAGGAGCTCAGGCTTGGAAAGAAAATCGCTGGCCCTCATGCCTGTAAAGAAAAGCGTGGCCATGTAAGCAGAGTGCAGTCGCGTCCACCTGAGGCAGAGGCCAGCCAGTAGCAGCAGGTCCATCAACAGTACCCGGGTCCCATTCACTTGGCCAGGGTGTTAGGGCTGAGCCCTGCTCCTTTGGGGGGAGTGGCGGTATAGCACCCCAGCAGGGCCCACTCACAAGCAAGAGCTGGGGTATGTTGGGGGAGAGCCCTTTGAAAATGAGCATAGAGGCCTTGCTGCTGCTTCCATCATGGCGTCTCTGAGATGGGAATAGGTCCATGGGGCTGGGGGCAGGGCCGGCTGGTGTAGGGAGGAGTGGTACATGCAACACAGCCTCAGTGCAGCTTTGGCTACAGGATATAGCCCTAGCGCCTGGAGCAGGCTGCAAAGTCAGGCCTAGCCTGGGATCGGGTTGCATTACCCGCTCAGTGAGACAGGTTAACCGCCGGCTGCCAGGGCTCTTTGTTCCAGGCTGCTCCGCACATCCATTTGCTCTTCCCTGCCTCGGGCTCCAGAACGGTGCTGTCTGCACATGGCGTGGGACGTGGCTGGCCTCCCCAGCAGCCCCACACGGAGCCTTTAATCCTGCCCTAGGGGAGTCTGCCCACCCCAAGCGGACACGCAGAAGCGGGCGTGACCAGGAGGGGCAGGGAGTGGAAGAAAGCCCTTGCCATGCTGGCGCTTCTGTTCAGATGCTCCCTGTGAAACGGATTCCTTCTCCATGGGGCATGATGTGAATATCCCCCCCGTCTCTGAGGACAGGCGGGCGGCAGGGGCCTTTGCTGCACAGCAGCACGACGACGGTGTGAAAAATGCCAGTCTGTCGGTGGTAGAGGAATGGCCTCTTTCTCCCGGCTCTGTACAACAACAAATGGTTACCATGGCAGCAAGTGACTGACACGAACCATCATGAATGATCATCCAGCCTTCTGATGGTCTTTCCTCTTAGCTCTGTTTTGTGGAGGCGATCGTCTTTTTGTCCTTTCCCACCTTACCGGGCTCTGGGTTTGTTTATAAACCGGGGCCCAGACTGAATTTCTCTTTCCCAGGGTTGGGGCTTCAGTTTGACGGGAAAATTCCCACTAAGCGTTCAAAGCGCCCACTGCTGAGGGGCAAGAGCTGTGCCCAGTGAATGGGGAAGGCTGGTGCTTGAGAGAAGCCTTGTGCTTCACTGGAGTCACAGCTGTTTCAGGGCCATAAAGAGAGCTAAAATCCAGGGCAAAATGTATATCTACAGCATATTTCCCCCAGGAGGTAGCAAATTCCATACTGGAGCACAGTGGTTCTTGGTATTTAGTGCTTCAAATATGCATTTTATCAGATCCATTATTGAACACCCTGGGGGTCAGGGAATTTTAAGCACCACGGCCTGGCTTCAGGGCAGCATGTAAGCACGTGCATAAAGTTGGGCACCCATTGGATACCTAGCTTTTCTCATCAGTCGATTTCCAAGCACTTGTGAGAGCGGTATCACTGTTCCCATTTTACAAAAGGGGAAACTGAGGCACAGGGCTTGCCTCTTGGATGAGCCATGTTGGGCCAGGAGGGTGCACTGTCTGCAAGGAATAGGCTGTGCGTTTAAATACCCTAATGTGCTTTTCTCAATCAGGGTAGGCCTAGGGCCCCAGGCCAGGAGGGTGCACTGTCCGCAAGGAATAGGCTGTGCGTTTACCCTAATGTGCTTTTCTCAATCAGGGTCTAAATACGCCCCCTCCCCCTTTGTAATACGTAACAGGTGCTCTCGCGCAAGTGAAGTCAAGCCCCCCCTTTATAATATATAACAGGTGCTCTCGCGCAAGTGAAGTCATTTGACTTCTTTCTAGTGCCAGCTAGAAGGTGCAGAATCCACTTTTCATATGGCTCTGGGCGGGCCTGGGTCCCAGCTTGCGGTTGGGATAGCCGTGCCATAGCGTCTGGACGTGAGGGGGGGCCCTGGCGAAGCAGGGAAAGCAGAGGGCCGAGCCCGCTAGGCCAGCCTAGGCTTTCATGGTGATGTTTGCCGTGCTATTGCTATGCTCCTGCAAAACCGTTCTATCTGCAGTGACCGTTTCAGCCACCAGCTAACTTGCTGGCCTGCGTGACGTTCATGCTGGATCACGCTGTCCCAGGGATGCCTATGTTTTCCTCTGAGGCCAAGCAAATGTTTGGGCATTAATCCAGGGAACGGGACAAAATACCTGGTTCTTTAGAACTCTGCAGTAATTTCACTCTTCCACTGCCAGGAAATGGCTTGGCCAGTAAAGGAAGGAAGCCTCTGAGACATGTGGGGGAGAGTCGGGGGGTGCAATATGGTTTAATGTGTGTCTGGCTTTGCAAGAGGGCACTGGCTCCCTGCTAGAAGCTTCTCGCCTCTTCCTGCCTCATAGCTAAATGCTCAGATTAGGGGAGCGCCATTGAGTGCTGCTGCTTGGATCCCTGCGCCAGTTATCATTGCTGCTTCATGCGCTTGGCCTTGTCTCCGAACAGCCTATGCCAGAGCCGCACAACTCGTCAGCGCTGCTTCCTGCAGCGGACGGTGACGAGGCCGAAAATTTTCCATGGCTAGTTTATGGTGTCGTGTGTCGAGGGCCTTTAGGGCTTGTGCCTTTAGGGTGACAGGTCCCCGCCGGGACGGAGTGTTTCATTACAAGGGAAGGACACAGTTAGAAGCAGGAGAAGCAGGACTCGCACTTAATTGCTAGGTGGCACAACATGCCAATTTCTGCTGGCAGCCACAAAGCGAAGCCAGTTGGGAGCAGCTGGTGGAACCACGCACCCCCTGCATGCGCACACCCCCACGCCCATTATATCTGCA